ATAATAATTTTTGTTGCTATCTCCTCCATAGCATTGCTTTGCTTTCTGAGAAATGATTGGATTGAAATATAGTACAGGCTTCTTCAGATTCTCAAATATGTTATTGATCAAAAGACTCTCCAGCTATTTCATAGGATGACTCTGTAGACACCACAGTTATTAGATCTCACAGCTATCTTGGTTATCTTCATCTGAACTTCAATGAAGACTTACAAGACAATCTAAAATATGACCTTGACACTGATCATGCTATATTGATAACATCCATCAAAATCCAAGAGTTTTACTAGGCGCCGGTGGCTCACGCTTATAAACTTAGCTACTCTGGAGGCAGAGATCAGGAGGATTGTGGTTCAAACCCAGCCCATGGCAAATAGTTTGTGAAACTCTATCTCAACAATTACAACACAAAAAAGGGCTGGAGGAGTATCTTAATTGGTAGAGTGCCTGCCTAGCAAGCATGAGGCCCTGAGTTTAAAACTCTAGTACAAAAAAAAATCATTTTCATCAAGAACAGCAGGTCTAAAGAAGCATCAATGCTACCTACCTTGAACATGGTTCATGAGGATTGCAAAAAACTTCAGAAAGCAGCTGAACCAATGTGATATCACCATTGTTAGCAATAAGCAATAACTGCATCCCAGGAATATGCTTTGTCAGTTGAATCATTATAATTTTCCTTTTAAGAGCCAAGTGACATTGAGTTTCAATTCTGCCAACTGCAGATCCATTATAACTACAAATAAAAGAAGTCATTAGTTTTTTTCTAGCCACTGGAAAAAAGGAATGGTCATGCAGCATTTCCCAACTTAGTAGCATAATACAGAGAAAATCTTAGAAGAGTTCCTGCCATGTTAACCCTTATTGATTTAAGAATTATATCATCCAGATAGAATGGAATGTCATAAGTGTGCAGAACTTTTAGTACTGGTCTCTTTTTAGTTCTTATAATTAATTCTGAAGTAATATAGAGTATGATTTACTATAAATGGTGCTTCTTGGAGTTGAGGGGTGCACTGTTTGGCTGGAAGCCTTTTTTATTGCTATACTAACCTAACTCAGCTAAATCAGATCTGAAGAGTTTCCCTTTCTATATTGTAGCAAAAAGAGTATTCAGCTTGGCACAACAATACCTATTTATTTATGTATGTACTTATTTACTTACCATATATTTATTCTACAAACAATTAGAGCAGCCTAGAAAACCGAATTTGAAACAAAGAGGTAAGTATCTTCTTAAAGGAGAAGAGAGTTGGCACTTAGGGGAAAGTTAGAAAACACACTGGATGACAGAAGTCCACACAGAACATTTAAATTATGTTACTGATTAACTACTAATGCAAAACCCAGAATTTTGAACTTAATCTTCTTTGCAATCAAAACAATCTTGTTAACAGGATCACTTACATGACTTATGGCATCTATGAAACAGAAAAAAAAGTATTTATTTAGAAGAAGAACAGTTTGTCCTGGTACTGATAACCCTAGCATACATTTGCTAGGGAAAGCAAAGTGGCAAATGTCAGTATTCTTCCCATTTTGTTGGCTACAACTAGCATTTGAACCCTTGTAAGCACAAGGGACAGGAAATATGATCCTGCTCCAACTCCTTTGAGTTAGAAAATTGACAAACAGTGCTAATAGCATCCAAACTAGAGATCTTCCAAAATCAAGAGTAATAGGTACTCAATATCATCTCTAGAGAGGGTGAATTGTTAAAACTTTTGTAAATATCACAATGTACTTGCAGCACAACAATAATTAAAAAATCATCTCTAATTTAGATACATAATGCTATCCAAAGGGCTGAGTTTTTTATTTCTTCTTTTTCTCTTTTCATTTTTGAAGGCAGGGTTTCACTGAGTAACCCAGCTGTCCTTGAACTCCTGATCAAGAGACTACCACAGTCTCTTGAGTACTGAGATTATAGGTGTGAATCACCATGCCAGGCTGGGTTTTTAACTTCAACCAATCTGAGTCAATGATATTATATCAAAAGTTATTTAACAATAATAGTTCTATGAGAAACAAGCATTAAGAGAACAAATTAGTGAACTCAGTTAAGGGGATGATGCCATCAATATGAGCAGAATTGGTAGCACATTTATTACACAGCAGTGTCAGTGACATGATATGTTTTGTGGACTCAAAAGGATTTAAATAGAGCCAGAACTAGTGCCCACCAATACTTCCCTAGTAAAGTATACACACGGCCTCAGCCAGTGAGCACCATTTGGTCAGTTCAGCAGACAAATAGAGTATCAGAATTCAAAGAAGGTAGTCCTAAGAAAAAGTCAGTTTTGCAAAGTATGATTAGAAAACTCTCAAGAACTTGATTATACTTTTTATTTTCAAAACTGACATTTATCCTGATGTGACATTTTCTTAATCCCTTAATGACTTTTAGTTGAAATACCAACAGGCAGAAAGAAAGTGATAATGTGAATTCAATACTTTCATTTATAAAGTATGCTACATTAGAAGGTAGGACTGAAGGTCCTAGTCAGCCTACAGAACAGTACAGGACAATTGTCTTAAAAGCATCACCTTTGGGGCTACTACCTTTATCATTCTTATCTAGAAAGTTTTCATTCACCTGGTCCTAGAGTAGTCACAAAGTTGACAAACCAATGATCAATGCGCACTTATTTCTTAATTTCTACTTTAGGAAATTCACAGGAAGAACCAAGAGGCACTGACCGAAGCAACTAGCTAGGAAAGATAACAGAGATTTTCTTGGAATGGCAAATAACAAGCATACCTGAAAGATCCAAGTGTTCCTTTTGTAATAAAAACAGGCCTGTTGACTGCTTACTCATGGCATTTTCACATCTCATTACTAACACTGAGTAACAGGCAAATCAAATGGATATTTGTCTCCAGGAATTATAAATTATAATTATAAACTATAATTTAATTATAAATTAAGTGATATTTAAAAAAAATAAGTGTTTATGACCTCTACAGGGAATGAAAATCTTCTGTAAAAATGTTTAAAAAGGAAATTTTACCCAAATGAATGCTGTAAACTTAAATATCTGTGTTTCATTTTCAATTCCAGAAACAATATTTTAAACCTCATTGCCCAGCTCTACCACTTCACATAAAACTTGTCTTGGCTACAATTACACTATCTAATAACCAAAGTGAAAAATTGGATTCCTGACTGACCCTGGCTGGCCAGTTCTTTAAGCTCGAATGATATAAAAGACCAACTAACAAGACCTCCCATTGCAGGGCTGTAAATGTCACTGATGGCCCTACAGCAAGCCTACCTTTTAAAAACCCCTGTGTGTACCTGGTCTTGTTATTACCATAGGAGTGGCTTCTATGCCAGTGGCTCATGATTCATAGAGTTCCCCATCATTTGTCTTACCTTCATCACATTACAGTTTCACTAAATATCCTCTGATTTCCATGTTAGCAGAGACAACATTAATTGTCTGATTAGTTTCATGCTATGTTTTGTGCTGTGGCTGAATGACTTCTTCATTTTTCATTCCCTTTTATGTAAAATCGTTCCAGTTTGCATATTTTAGGTACTTTCCAGGACCAATGACAACTTGAATTGCATTTCCGCAGATCTTTATAATCCATCTCTTCAAAGAACTTGGAAAGTGTGCATGCCAATGTCTATGTTTTTCATAGAACAGTAACTCTCCACCGCTGTAGGCTCCACTCTCTGGACTTTTAGTTCAGGATGACTTTATTACACAACCTAAGACTCTCTAATTTAAAAACTTCTATAGAGCAGTCTCACATGTCCAGAATTGACCCATTCTGTAGGAAAAGCTACTTTGAGAAATTTAACTTGTGAGTCTTATATATTTCTATGCAGAACCAAGAGGTAACTCCAAAGTAGTCTTTTTGGAGACCTGCCCCAAGGAAGGTGATACACTTATTTAGAAGATGAAGGAAACCATTGGTAACTTTTTCAGATGTGTTGACACCATTTCCAGGAGTTTGAAAGTTAGATCACAGTTAATAAACTACCTCCCTAGAACTCTCTAGTCATCTCCTTTATCTCCTCTCCCTCACAAAGTAAAAAAGTGTATACATTCACAGAATTTCTGGGTCTATCAAGATCCCAATTAGGTAACTGAGAATAAGAATCAAGGGACAGTGTAACAAGCTGGGAGCAGTGGCTCACCTGCAATCCCAGCTACTTGGAAGGCTGAGACAGAGGATCATGGCTCAAGGCCAGCCAGGGCAAAAAGTTAGAGAAATCTATCTTAAAGAAAAAGCTGGGTGTAATGGTACATGCCTATAATCCCAGATAAGAGAAGCAGAGGTAGGAGGATCAGAGTCCAAGGTTGACCAGGCAAAAGCATATAAAGAATAATTTAAACAAAGAGGACTGAGGGTGTAGTTTAAGTGTTAAGTGACGGGACTAGCAAGTTTGAGGGCCTGAATTCAAAATCCCAATACCACCAAAAAAAGAGAAAGTATGAAATTGATATAAGGATAGTCTCCATTCTTCTACTACAAACTAGTCTTCTCTCCCCAACTCATTTCTGTTAGACCAAAAGGAGTAGAGAGACAGTTTTCAGAGATACACTCATTTACAAATACTCATTTAAATGTATCTATATAATAGCATTGTCATTTCAACATTTAATGAATTCTATGCTGAAATAAATGTCATATGAAATACCAAGACTAAGAAACAATAAGTAACATGTCTAAACATGAATTTAATTACTCAGAAACTTAGAAAGACAAAACCCTGTGCTCTCATGGGGAACTTCAAGCCTAAAATTTGTGGAGCATAAACTGTTTTTAAATTTGATCATGAAACCAATTACTTCTCTGTAAGTCAAACACAGTATAATGTAATAAAAATGATAAGGAGGTCAGGGGCCTTGTATCACATCAGCCACTAAATGGCCTCGGATTTCTCATCTACTAGGTCCTCTTTCCCAAGCTTTGGCAGCCACCTTACTAATGATTTCTTATTATGATTCTGCTTCTGATTCTTTCCCCTTATTTCTCTTTTGCAGATTTTGTTCATGGGCATGATGACTGAGTACTATCACTACTTTTTCACAACCCTGGTAAGTGCTCCCAGTAGAAATGTCTTCCATGGGATAGCAAGCATTTCTACACATTATTTCAAAGCCAGCCCCTCCATTGTTAAAGACAGGAAGGATATTGTCATGGAGACTTGCTTTACTTTCTTAAGACTCTTCTAAATCCAGTAATGCTGAACACCAGATTTCTTTCTTTCTTTTTTAATGAGTATCAATGCATCTGCAACCAAAAAGGGATGAAATTCCATTAAATAAAAACCATCAAAGTGCAAATTCATACAAGCATCATGCACAATTTCTATATCCATTAGCAATTCCACTGAAGTGTGCCGTGGCATTCTTTAATTTCATGTGGCTTTCCTAGTTGTGTCTAGGAAATAGTGGAGGTAAGCCATAATCACCTGGCAGGTGTTGGGGAAACTGTTAAGAAGTAGGAGTTTGAGAGACACGCTGAACATTGAACATTTTGGACCACCTAGAAAAAATTATGATTCTAAGGTTTAGAAATTCTGATGCCTTAAATTCTGAGAGATTCTCAGTTCAAGGTAGAATGACATAGGGCTTTTAAACATACCAGAATGATGTGATAGCTCTCATTCAATGACCCTCAGAGATCAAACTCATACACACGCATATACCACTCCTCCCAGCACCACACACTCCACTTTCTTATGTGAGAGGAAAATCAAGAATCAGCCTTCTTTCCTAATCTGTCAGGGAGTATCAAGTAAAATCTACCCAGATTTGGAGAATTGAAGGCTTTAGTAGAAGGACCAAGGAGTTGTCATACTCATAATATTCACAGAGAGCATGAAGGGGTGTGGAGGGCATCATGAGATTACTTTGGGATAGCTGTCAAAATCATTACTGCTACTGAGCTCGGGGTGGGGAAGGAGGGCAAAGCCTGGAAGTTCCTAAAGTAAGGTTTCTTTGATATTATGCCCCAGTCTTCCTGCTGTCCTTGTCAGTTCCTCTTTTAGAACAGTTGAGGGTGATCTTGGGGACGGATAAGTGTCTTACTTTGCTCACCCTTTCCCCATCATCAGGAACACCTGATGTTACTCAAGGTGATATGCCCACCGTTACACACTGTGAAGAGGTGGTGTTGGACGATTTGTCATCCAACTAGAAACCATCCACTAGAACCTAGGAAGGCTGGTCCTCAGTGGAGGCTTTTCAGGGTAAAGACATTGCACAGTTTTATTCCTGTCCATCCCTCACTCTCCTGTTTTCCTCTTTCTGCACTTACAAGGAGATGTCACAAACCCTACCTTGGACGTTCCTTATTCTACACTGCATAGGAACCCCAAATTGTAGGGCAAACTAATTTTGCACATTTTTGACATAGTCATTATAGCATATCAAACTTATATACTATGGGATTCAGTATGCATGCCAGAAGTTTCTATGAAATATCCTGTAACTTGAGCAATTTTTCTTTGATTCATTGAGTATACTAAAAGAATCACTCTTTTCCAGGTCTTATTCTTTAAATTTGTTTCTGTAAGCATTTTTCTAGAGTTTTATCTATATTCTGTCCTATATTGTCAACATTTTTTCCCATGGATATTAGCATAACTTTTTTTAAAAGTTAGTTAATTTGTGCAAAGGAAAAAATAGATGATACTTTACTTTTTCTGATATGGACGCAGCAGCACCGAGCTGCATTCTGATAGTTCTGCCACCTACTCTGACATTGCCTTGGGAAAGGGTGGCAATGCTGAGGAGTTCTTCAAAAGAGTAAACCTGTGTGTATCTGCTGCATGTGGATATCATGGAAGGCTTCTGGGGCTGCTGCCTTTCAGTGAAAACAGACTTCCCGACATATCCCACCTGGTGCTGCTCTTTCAGAAAGTACTTGCATGGTTAGGAATTTCTATGGAAGTTGTTTTTTTTTTTTTTTTTCCTGTCAAATGCTATTTTGAAAGTTTTATTCCCAAATTGTGTCTAAACTTTTTGTATAAGAAAAAAAGATGAAATGATCATGTTAGTTCTTTTTTATTGCTTTTTTTTAATGAATCAACTTAGAAACTTCTGATTTACACCCAGCTTTTTCCATCATGGAAAAGACTGGCATGGGTAAAATGTCTTTCCTGGAGCATTGTCTGAAAGGGAGTGGACGCATGTCCACCCAACTGCACAGTCCCTATGTTCTCTGAAGAGAACCTTTGGGTCTTAGTCTGAGCTCAATCTTTATGCCCTCTTTGCATGGAATATGAGTTATTATCAGTAAGTCAAGGGATTGCATTTTTTTTTCCTGCCAAGAATGATCTTCCTGACAAATACATACGAAATTTCCAAACTTCTCCTCTAGGGTAACACCCAGACAGCTTGAAGCAACAAGATGTGATAGAGAAGTATGATTACTGCCATTGACCAGAGATTCTTTTATAGCCTGGTCATGTCACCACTGAGAACTTCAGTTTCTTCATCTATAAAATAAAAGCATTGAACTAAATGGACACAAATATCCCTTACAACTCCTCAAAGACTATAGGCTAGGAAGAGAATCCTTAGCTGTCAGAATACAGTATGCTGTGCTCAAGGGTATACAAATTATTGGCAGTCAAATTTCTCTTCTTGATTTATTCAAACTCTAACAGTATTGCAAAAAATGGGTAAAAATGAAAACCACTCCTGCCTTAGAGTGACTTAGATTGTATGTGAATTGTGAATGAAAAACACACTTTTTTTTATAAACGTGCTATGAAAGTGGTTTACTATTTTTATTTTAATCTATTTGTTGCTTCTGTAATCATTCATTTTCTTTTGCTTTGAAATGTTAATTTGTTTTTACCTTTGTTATTTTTAATACTGTACAGGACTTATTTGCTTTAGATCTGGAACTCTATAGGTACAGTGGTGTAAATATGACTGGGTTCCGGCTGCTTAACATTGACAGCCCTCATGTGTCATCCATCATCGAGAAGTGGTCCATGGAGAGGCTGCAGGCCCCACCCAGGCCTGAGACTGGCCTTTTGGATGGCATGATGACAGTAAGTAGCTTTAAAATGAGATCATTTGAGATCATGGTTGAATTGCTTAGGGCTAGATTAAGACTTTCATATGCCAAACTTGGCACCAGCGACTTATGCCTATAATCTTAGCTACGTGGGAAACTGAGAGAAGGAGGATCATGGTTCCAGGCCAGCAAGGTAAAGAGTTTGTGAGATCCCATCTTAACCAATAGTTAGGTGTAGTGGTTTATGCCTATCATCCCAGCTACATAGAAGGCTGAGATTGGGAGGATTGTAGTCTGGGCTGGCCTGCACAAAAAGTGCGTCCTTATCTCAAAACAACCAGAGCAAAAACGAATAGTTAGAGAAGTGGTCCAAGTGGTAGAGAGCACCTGCTTCGCAAACATGAAGCCCTGAGTTCAAAACCCAGAACTGCCAAAAAAAATAATAATTTCAGATCTTTCTATACTTTGAAGAAATGCTATTATAATGTGTGCCCTGACTTCAATGAGAAAGAGGAAGAGGAGGCTTTTTAGATATTTTGAAAGGTTGAGCCAACTATGAAAAGCTGCTATTTTTAGATTCCTAGCTGCACTTGTCTCAGATTTAAAAAAAAAAGTTTATGACAGTAGCCACCACCATCAGTCAAATGAAGACAAAGCAGGAACCAAGGCAAAGGCAAACGAAGAGTGTTTCCCCTGGGAAGGTGGCCTTGGGGAGGGGTGAAAGAGGAGGAACAACCTGCTTATGAATGTTAGGCAGTGCCAGTTTACCTGTGTGCTTCTGCCACAGCTCAGCAAGCAGAAGCGGATGTGGAAAAATGCCAGATTTACCTACAAACTGTGTGTTCCTGTTCTTCCAGTCCTGGACAGGTTTAGGCAACCTTCTGTAGACATTGATAGTGCTTAACACTAGCCATATGTCGCTCTTGAAGCAGATGCCAAGCCTGTCTCCTTGCGAGTCAGAGGTACTCTCCCAATCAGAAAAATCGCCTAACTGCCCCATCAGAGAGCATCTCTCTAGCATCATTTGTCCCTTGTTGTCAAATGTACCTACCCCCCTTTTATTTCTCTAATGAGGCTCCTTGGGTGAAAAAGAAAATAGCAGGAAAGAACTACAAAAAAAATGCTTCCTATGTATGAACAGTGGCACCTAAGGGGAAAGAGATTGGGAAAGCTAACAGGAAATAGCATTTTAAATTGGCATAGCATTTCATTCTCTGTTCCCATCATCCAGAGAAGCACTCTTACTTTTAAGATGCAATTTGCTGATAACTGAAAGGTACCATCTCACTGAGAAATGAACTAGGGACTTCTTTTTTCTTTCTCCTATGACAAACAAATGAAGAAAAGAAATAAATGAATGAATTAAGTGGTTCTGGATGATTCCATGTTCAGAGTCCCTGACTGTTTTGCAAACCTGAAATAACTCTTAAAACACACAGTGATCTGAGAGATACTGATGGAAAGCATTTTGATACAAATGAGCCTTGGGGTGAAAATAGCAGCTTTTCATTAAAATGTTGCTTTGAATAAAAACAAGGAGAGAATTTTCAGGGAAATACTGGCTTCCAAAGGGAAGCGGAATAGTACCTCCTTGTCTTCCATCAAGATTTCTATTACAAGATTCGCTTCCGAATCATTTTTACCTGTACTTGGTGTGTATGACTGAGGAGTTAGATTTTGAAGCTGTTTTTACAGAGACTATAAATTTATTCCAAATGTTAAAATATACATAACAATATAGCTTAATTTACAAAAACATCCAACAGTGTATGAGCTCAATTATACTGAGCTGACAGAATAGTTCGCACATCTTGACCAAGATGAGGAAGAACACAGAAAAAGGGCAACAAATCTGTGGAATTTTCACAGAAACAGGCTGGGAACATGGTGATGGTGCTTCCTGGGGCTGCTGCCAGTGGCCTGCGCTAATGCCAACCCCATGAGCAGGAAATGTAGTACAGCCAAGTCCCAGGGACTAGAAGATACCCTGTTCTGTCCAGAGGTATCCAGTCTAAGAAAGGGATTTCAAGGCTGAGTTCTTATAGTTGTTATTATTATGAAACCAAACCAGAAGAGATTGGTTTACTAAAGTGTTGTTAATGCACAGCATAACTATAAAAGGTCATGTCAATACTAGTCCAAAACAGTGGTAGAATGCAGCACCCACTAAACATTGGCTCCAACAGCCATGCAGATGTAGCTCTGAAATTGATTACATAAGGCACACCATCATCATTATTGTCCAGAGCTTGCATCACACTTCATTCTTTTCTGTTTCACCTGAATCTGTCTGATTTAAGGACACAGAAACTGTATTTTCATTAAGAGGAAAGGGCACAGATAGGAAGTATTTTCATCAAGTCAAGATAACACACCCCCTGGCCCTAAATCCAGGTCCAATGCTAAGACATCTTTGCTCTCAAGTTGCCTCTATCCAAACTCTTTCTGCTGTACTCTAAAGATAAGAAGTCTCATTTCATTCCTTTTGTACAAATAATATATGCTAATTTTAAAAAGAGAGAAAAGGAAAAAAAGCCATAAAGAAATAATGCCAAGTTTCAATTCCATCAGGTCTATGTATAAGATCCTGAGCTTTTATTCATTGTTGCACATCAAGCACTTGCTTTCCCACTACCATCCAGACTGCTCAGACACCACTTCCCCAGAGAGGCATTCCAGGAATCCATACACACTGTGGTGGCTTCCTCTCTGTTATTCTCTCTGCCCAACGTGTTTGCCCTCATAACCTCCTATGATATACTTTGACTTACTGCTTTTTTTAGTATCTTCCTCTACAAGAATACAAACAGCATGAGGATACGTTCTTTGTCTTTTTTCACTGTGCTCTATCCTCAGAGCTAGAAAAGTTCTGGTCCAAAGTAAGTCTCCATAAATAGGTATTTTATGAAAGCATTAACGCAGTCAACAAATATGAGTTAATCTACTGAAACACAAGATGCTATATGAAAACTATTTGTATAGAACTGAAATATTCTTATTAATGTCCAGGCAACTTCCTACAAATAAGAAATATATGCCTATGATCTCAGCTACATAGGAGGCTATAGCTAGGAAGATCATGGTCTGAGGCCGGCCTAAGCAAAAATATAAGACCCTACCTGAAAAATAATTAAAAAGCACAAAGAGTCTGGAGGCATGGCTAAGACCTTGAGTCCAAACTCCAGTATTACCAAAAAAGAAAAAAGAAAAAAAGAAATATGCATGATTTATTCTAAAGTAATAAGGTTATTGAAAAATTTCATCATAACCACTATTTACTATTATAAATAATTGTAAGTAAGGCCTTTACTATAATTGAATTGCATTCCCTAAAATCGTGTATTATCTCACTATTCTCCAAGATGAATTTCCCTGTAGCTCTATACAGTCATACTTTTTTCATTTGCCACCATACGTTTATAGATTTAGGATATAAACATACAACATAGGAATCAGAAACTTACATAGGAAAAACTCATATGTTTTGACTTCCTACCTACTTGTCTATTTTTTTCAATACTTTTAATTATTAAAAATTCCCTAAAATTTCATACTCTATAAAATCTTCAAAGAGTATTATTATATGTCAAAACATATCCAAATCTGAAAATAGAAAATTCAGTCATGCCAAAGTTCAAAAACCATCTTGATTCTAGATTTAATTGAAGAAAAAAAATTAACTTTAAAAATAGAGTTGAGTTGATTAAAAAAACTGAGTCAATATAGTTCATAAACAGTAAAATTTACTGCTAAAAAACATCTTGGGGTTAAAAAAGAAATAATGTTTTATCAACTGGAGTGTTAATTAACACATCAGAAATTTGGAGTGATTTTTGTAAAATCTACTTTGTTTCTTTTCACTATGTTTAAATTATTCTCAGCATTTGATTCAGTATCTTAGCTTCGGGACAGACTGGGCTAATGGAAAAACCCATTCTTAGATAGATTCTCCTCTGATTGAGGACAAAAATTATATATGATTCAGTACAACCCAGGAGTCCCAGAAACAGCAGAACATTGGTCTGTCATCTTCCTTCTCAGATGCTCAAATGCCTTCACAGTGTGAAGTCAGCCAGTAGTTTTTTCCTGCTCTCCTACATATACTATTTTCTTTTATCATGGTCTATGGAAAGACATCAAGTCTCCACTGCTACTCCTGTGATGAAAAACAACAGGAAGCTGGATTAGTAAAAAAGCAAGGTCTTTCCAGATAAGGAATGTCTGGATTTGGTTCCTGGTCATGTCTCTTGACTAACCAAGTGACCCAAGCAAGTTATTTACTTATCTGAGCCTGTTTGCTGATCCATAAATCTATATGATACCATTCTAGGATCAAATTACATGATACAGGCAAAACTTCCAGGGCATAGGAATGAATTTACTTGCTGATGCTTGCTGACTTTTGAATTTTTAGTCAATAAAAGAACAAGACATTTTGAAACACCAAGGCAGAATTCTTACTATGCCTTATTTGAGAAAACAAGGAAAACTAAGGATTATTTTATTATTTATATTATTATTTATTTATAAGAGGCACATTCCTTGAATTGTTCCAGTAGTACAAAATGGCCCTTTCCTGAACTTGTGTAAATGGAACCATCCAGGCCTATTCTCCAACTGTTCATGTAATCCTCTTTCCCTGTTTTCCTTTGTCTCTCAAAAGCTAGTAAATGTTCATTGAAACTCAAATTATGCAACCAAGACTCTGCCAAGTCTTATTGGACCTGCTGAGATTGCTGTCCTGATAACTGATTTTCTAGATTAAGAACGTGCTGATTTCTCCATCACTTTCCCAAACCCAGCTTTCAATACATATAAAATGTGAACATAAACACATTTGGAAGAAGAATATTTGAAATCTAGGCCAATTTCTATTGCATTACATATTACCAAAAATGGCTTGAGACTTGCTGTTCAGTATGCAGCCCTCCAGCACAAAACTGAAAGAGGGAGAAAATGCAGTGGTAATTTATTAGTGCTAAAAAATAAGTTAGAATGAGCATTTCCCCATCTAAGAAAACATTTTATGTCAAGGGGGAGCATATTTTTAGAGTAAATGGTTTTCTTCTTTGGATTTGAAAGGCACTGATCAGTTCTATAGTTTTGAACTATTTTACTCCTTACCAGTGTGGAGACAAGCTTGGTAAGGAAAGTCAAATTCCCTTCTAAACCAAGTTAATGGAAAATTCAGGCCATTGGAACCCCACTCTTCCTACTTCTCTATTAAACCAGTTGTTCAGTGAATTAATACAGTTAACCCTCTGTTTCTTCAGATGTCCAACTCTGTAGATTTAGGCAGTGGTTATCAAAAATATTCCAGAAAAACTGCACCTGTACTGAATATATATTGACTTTTTTCTTGTCATTATTCCTTAAACAATATAGTATATCAATGATTTAATAGCATTTACATTATATTAGGCATTACAAGTAATCTAGATTTATAAAGTATTTGGGAGAGTGTGCTTAAGTTGCATGCCAACACAAAGCCATATTATATAAGGGACTTGATATCCAAGGGAGGCCCTGGAACCAATTCCACATAGATAGCAATGGAACACCACACACACACAAATATGTAAAGAAGTATAATATACTGCCAGATGCTGTAGCTCACACCTATAATCCTAGCTACTCAGGCTGAGATCAGGAGGAGCATGGTTCAAGGCAAAAAGTTCATGAGATCCATATCAACCAAAGAAAAGGTGGGCAATGGTGGCACGTGACTATCATCCCAGCTACAGTGGAAGCACATAAGTGGGAGGACTGTGGTCCAGCAAAATCCTATCTCAAAATAACCAAAGCAGAAGGTCTGGGCTATAGCTCAAGTGGTAGAACATCTTCCTAGAAAGTTCAAGGTCCTGAGTTACAACTCCAGGTCTTCTGAAAAAAAAAATATATGTATATATATTCTACTGATAAAAAGGTCCACAGTGGAATAGCATTAATGACTATGGGGAAGAGCTCTGAAATCTGACTTTGCATCCTGAGTTGTGATTCTCACTCCTCCTCTTACTGACTACATAACTCTAGACAAATTATTCTACTTCCCCAAGCCTTAATTTCCCATCTATAAAACTGGAACAATATCTGTTTCAAAAGATTAATTTTAATAATTAGAGATAACATACATAAGATGCTTATAATACCTGAAATGCAGTAAATTCTCAATATAAGCCATTATTGAGCTATTATTGTGATAAGTAACTTGGTTTAAAGGCAGCACAGCATCCTGGTTAAAAGCATAAACACTAGCACCAACAACTGGTGTGAATATCAGCTTTCCCACCACTACTTTGAAGACAATTTAATCTGTTTCTTTTCCATAAAGGAGTAGGGGTGATGGTAAAAATTCAATGTTTGAAAGAATTCATAACATGACATTTAATAAGTGCTTAATAAACACATTTTCCAAAGTCTGAATCTTCCAATGCTTATTCTCCGTCAATTAATCCAAGTTAATATAGCAGAATGATGATGAACACGGGTTCGGGAACAAGACAGGGATGGAGTCAAGCCCTGGTCATTTAGCTGATTAGCTGGGTAGATTTGTACTAATCACTAAGTTTCCTGGAGCCTCTGTTTTGTTATCTACAAAATGGATTATGTCAATCTTAAAGTGATCTGAACATTTTTAACCATTGGCAATTGCTATCCTCCCTGCCCTATACACTGATGTAACTTCTCTATATCAATTGTAAGAGTGAACTATCTAAAACTTTAAGATTATACAGTTCTCACAAAAATGCATTTTAAGCCATGAAGCATGTTAGTTCCTTCAGTGAACATTTATTAAACAACTTTTATGCATCAAGAATTGTGCTAGGGGCTGGGGTTGCATGGTTCAAGTGGCAAAGCGCCTGTCTAGCAAGCTTGAGGCCCTGAATTCAAACCCCAGAACTGAAAAAATGTGCTAGGTAGGAAAAGCTGAATTTAAATAGTTTCTGCCTTTAAGAAGCCCACATTTTTATCAATAAACATGTATAAAACCAAATGACTATATGGAAGAGATTGGATAGAATTATGAGGATTTGAAATATAGGTATTCCAACTGATAGAATGCACAATGTAATAATGCCTCCATCAGTACATAATCAATGCATAGTTAATGGTGAATGAATCAGCTAATTGCAGAAAACTACATGATAATTCTCATTCTGTAATCTGGATTTGAGGTTTAATGCTGCCAATTATCAGCTATGCACATATAGCCCTCTAGAAATCAATACCCTCCCTAGAGGATAGTTTTCCCATATAGTAAACAGATTTATCTATGTGTTCTGCTTATTTTAGGGAGTTATTGAGAATTTCAAATGAGCTAATGTATTTGAAGTAGCAATGAAAGCCCTCCAGTAAAATCTGAGGGTATTATGAGATTTTTATCCCCAAAGAAAACCACGGGGCAGTATATTTTATAAAATTCAGTGAGTGTAATGTAAAATTTTGCAAATGAGAGGAATTTCACGAGGAAGAGAAGAGATGTCCAGCCCCAAAGAGAAATGCCTACCTTCATGAACAAGAAAATTCTGACCCTCATGTCTGTTCTTCAGAGGATCCCCAAACTTTCTGCTGAATTTGATTCTACAACCTCTTTGATTCTTGTAAATGGACCTGCCTAACACATGTATCTTTATCTGGAAATCTCCTCTTTAGTTTTACTTGTAGGTTTTTTCCTACTACATATGAAATAGTTAGTGACAAACAAATATAGGGAAATGCTGAGAGAAAAGTCAGATGTTGAAACACTGAGCTTTCATAATTTCTACTTCAATATAGTTGGTCTTTTCCCATTTTTTTTTTATGGCAATGCTAGTATTTGTACTCAGGATGTCATGCTTGCTAGGAAGGTACTCTACTACTCGAATCATACCACAGCCCTTTTCTGCTTTAGTTATTTTTTAGATATGGTGTGATATTTTTGCTCAAGACCAGCCTTGGAGAGCTACAATTCTCCTACCTATACCTCTGAGTACCTGGGATTACAGGTGTACACACATAGCTTATTGATTCAGATGGGGGTCTTACTAAATTTTGCCTGGGATGGCCTTGAACTGTGATTCTCCTGACCTCCACCTTCTGAGTAACTGGGATCACAGGTGTGCATCACCACACCTGGCCAATATAGTTGATATTAACACCATGGTTAACATATATAAGACACTCCAAACATTTGTTTCATAAATCAAGTCTTTTGTGGCTGATCTGAGTTGCTCTTTTTCTCAAGAACACACACAGAGAAAAAACATAAATTTGATTCTAGTTTATTCTGGAGTGTAAAGTATTATTTTGGAGAAAAATGGTTATTGGTGAGTGAAAACTGCTCACCTGCAGAATAAATGAACTTTGAGCTCAGAAAAATAGGATCAAAGCAAGCAAGGACAATGATGATGCAAGTGAAATAAGGTATGCAAGGGGCGGATTGAAAATGTAGTGTGTTTTCCTCCACAGACTGAAGCAGCTCTGATGTACGACGCTGTGTATATGGTGGCCATTGCCTCCCATCGGGCCTCACAGCTGACGGTCAGCTCCCTACAATGCCATCGTCATAAGCCATGGCGCCTTGGACCTAGATTTATGAACCTGATCAAAGAGGCAAGTGCTTCTCCCTCTAAGTCCAGTTCTCCCTTCAGCTGGTCACTGCATGACTTTGCCATTTGATGTGGCCTTCCCCCTTTGTTGGTGTGATGTCTCTCGGGGAGGAGAAGCTATTGTCAACCAGTTTTCTTGGATCTTGGGATCAAAAGTTTGTCTAGAACTTTCTAATGTTTACCAAGAATTTTCTAATGTGAAGTCAGTAAGTTCAGAGAAGCTACCAGATCAGAACCTTAACTCTCCTTTATTCTAGCCATGACCTGTTACTGTTAGCCCTCCACCCACAAGAGTCATGGACTCTTATTCCATTCTGTGGCACATTAAGTCAAGATGAGGGTTAGTCCACCACTGAAGTCCCCACATTGTCAGTTCCTTGATCCCCATGGCACCCTAATGCTTGGGCTGTCCAGAACTGAACAAAGAACCTCTTGACTTAATCATATAGTGATTATTTTTCCCCTTTATCAACCAATAAAAGTCTAGTCCCATTCAAAACCTACTAAAGAAACTTCAAGAAGACAGGGTATTTGGGTGAAGGGAGTTGTCCATTAACTCCCTGAGATCCTGAACTGTCACCATATTGTTCTGTTATCTGAGGCAGATTGAATGCCTAAGACCCTGCTGTGAGACCCCAAGTCACTTTATAAATATGTTCCCCTGAATTATCTTTGTGCCCAACATGCATCTCAAGGTGTTTTTGGGCTGAAAAATATGAACTAAGGCTCTTGGGAGCAGCCAGCATGGCTGCAAATATATTCCATGACATGTTCTATGGGATTTTCTCTGTGGGATGCCTAGGTTTGCCTCTCAAGTAAAGAATATCTTCTTCTCTCTTCCTACCAGAGAAGGCAGGAGTGAGGCAAAGCCACAAGTCATAAGAATGAGAGAGAATACAGTACAAGAGAAGAATGTACACCATGTACTAAGGAAAAGTACCTGCTTTAAGATCTGTGCCTCAGTTTTTTCATCTATAAAATGGCATTAACACCATGTGCCTCACAGTATTACTGTGTAGATAAAGAGTAAAGGTGCTACTAAGAATTTGAAATATTAGCTAATCTCTTACCATAGGGAATGTCCCATTCTAACAGCCTCATTCAGTTTATGGAAGATGGTGCCAGGAACTTAAAACTGGCAACAACAACAAAGAAATCACAAATTGGCATGAAATGAAATGCCCTCTTGACAGCTACATAAATCTGACATACTGTGACTAATAGAAAAACATCACATGGCAGTTTCTTCTCCCTGTAGTGATCATGGTTATGTCCTGAATCGCCATTCTGATTACCTCGATCTTTAACAAGAAAACAGCTGGTTCCCTTTTATCTCAAACCAGTGCAGAGAGGCAGAAGCTGTATGAAAGCTTGAGATCAAACATTCAGAGCACTCCAAGCACCTTTTTGCTTATACTGAAGTTGCATAAGACGGTGAAATTACCAAGCCACATTTAGAAATGTTTAAAGAAATAATGAATGCCAAGATAATGGACCACATTGAAAGCAAGAAAGTATTTTATATGCATTCACTCTGAGGAGCAAATTCCCCATTCTCAGGCTCCACAGTTGGGAGTGAAAGGAAGGATGCACAGAGAATACATCAGAAATCTGTGTCACAATTGTTCTCATCCTCTCTTTTGTCTCCTGAGTCACTATGCCATATGCTACCTTTGTCTGGGTATAGGAACCTGCAGGGAAGATGGGGTGCGGAAAGGGCAACCAAGAGCAACACCCAGCCTGTTGGAGGACTGGCATGAAAGGAATTCTACCCTGAACCAAAACACACAGAATAGAAAACTCAGGTGTTTTGTTAGCTGAGTACATAACAACAAAACTTTGCAAGTATAGAGTTTTATTAAGAACCACATAAAATAAGGCACTTGATCCTAAATCTTCCTCTAGTCCTTTCTTTTAGTAATTCTCTTTATAAAGGAATTACAAAACTAAAATCAGAAAAATGTAAAAGAGCAATCCAGCACATTGAATTTTGGGGACAAAGATCAAATTCGTCACAGGAGGTAAACTTCCCAAGCAGAGGTAGTGGCGTGTGCAGTAAGTCATCCCTAAGAACTGTAGTACCATATTAACAATCAGGAAGTTTTCAGTTGTGTATCTCAAGTTGACTACCTTCCAGTGTTTGAGGCTGACTGAACGGGGAGCATTTGAGACATGATAGAATTTGCTATAGTGTTAGCTTTCTCAGCATTTGCTAAACAAATGAGTACTAGATTATAAATTCCCACTTGACAAGAATTACTGAGACTCCATTATGTAGTTAATATTTTGTGTTCCTGGAGCTCAAACCCAGGACCTCACGTATGCCAGGCAAGTATGCTACTACCAAGCTACATTGTCAGTCCCCTGTGTAAGTAATATTAACTTGTCATCCCAAGGGATATCCCTCCTGCCCCCCAAAGTAGAAGAAACATAGATTTTACCTGGTTGAGAAATTACGTGTTTCATTAGAAACTTTCCTGTGCCACAGGATAAAACCTCCAGTCCTTACTGCACCTGGAGTGGCTCCCTGAACATGACATATAATCCTGCTGAATTCTCTGGCCTCTGATTGAAAATCCTCTGGGTCATCCTTTGTGTCTTGACACAAGCACTATTCTCTCTGCCAACCCTGACTCAAATGCAGGCTCTTTACATCCCTTCCAGCTATAATCACCCTGTCATATTTATTTGCATGTCTAACAACTACCTATCACTTTCCAGTTTTGATGCCCTAGTTTTTGCACCATGCCAGACACAGAATAAGTAGCCAATGACAAGTGAATTAATTAATAAATCAAGGAACAAAGAAATTGAGGAACACACATTTATATCCTATAAGCAAGTGCAAGTGTTACAGGACACACTCAGTTCATGAATATCATATCCAGAAACAATTCAATATTCCAGAGTCAAGGCATTAGACCAACGTGTTCACCAGAGCCATGAATTCTGATGGGATGTGAGACAGGGATTTTAGGAATATAACAACCTATTTAGTCTGCCACTGGGAACACAGACCTCAGATTTCATTGCATTTTACTGTCTGTGTGAACTTACTCATTTAACTTATGTGTTTCTCACTTCCTTTTTATATAACAAGAGGATAAAAATGTCCACTCCATATATTTGAGTGAATTTCATACACTGTGTGTAAAGTCTACCAACAAATGGAGTTTCTGTTAAATTGTACACCAACTAAGGCAGTTGTTAGGAGGAACAAGGCAGAGCACAGAAAACATTAAGTGTCTTGCCAAGCAGATTGTAAGCCCTGCATCTTTGCTATCAGTGGTATTGGTGTCTTTATTACTGGAATCTAAAATGATCTTGCAGTTGTTTGCATAAAAAAGAGGAAGACGTAGCAGCGGGAAATTAGGAATGCTATAGATATAGGCATGCAGCCTTTAGCACACTGGTGCAACAATGCCAGGCACTAAGGGAACTTTCAATCTCAGACCATACACATGTTTCTTTCAGAAAGGATATCAGGCAGTAAGGAACCAGATTAAGTGTCTTAGTCTTCTCAGGCTGCTGTAACAAATAAGCTGGGTGCCATAAAAGCTGGTTGTAGAACAATTAATGGAACACCCACAGTGGGAGCAAGCACATCGGGGCATCCAGGAATGAAGAAGATCTCTAATCACAGGTTCTGGGAAGAGTAGTGGATTGTGTACAGAACAAAGAATCAGGGATTTTAGGACAAATCAGGGATTTTAGGACAAATCAGTGGTTATTAATTATTTTCTGGGTGCCAGTCCCTTACCATAACTGAGTAAAAACATTAATCTATCATCTCCTTCCCCCAATACATACAGATTTGTCTGAAATCTCAGGGACATGACAAACACTTTGAGTTCTCTAAGTTCCACATTAAGAGTGCCTGAGTTGAGTTTTAAAGTAGAACTTGAAAAGGCATTCTAGTGTGGTGAACAGCAAAAAGATAACTGAAGCATAAGGGGTCCTGTGGGGCCTGGATGGAGTAATCTCATGTAGAAGAGGTGAGAAATACATTCAAATATATATGGAGGAACAATTGGAACTTGCCTGCTGAGTTCAATTATCAAATTTAATTGATAATTGATAGGAACCACTGTCCTTGAGCCAGAGACAAAATGATGTTTCAGATAACTTACCTTGATAGTTATGGATAGGCTTCACAGAATGGCAGAGAATTAAAGTTTAATGGGAATGTGGTAAATTTTCCAATTCCCAAACATTGGAATCAGATCAAGGAGAAAGCCTAAATGATAAAAGGCTTAAGATTCTCTGGACATCAATGAGCAGATGGAAGAGAACTTTTTGGATTCCAGTGCTCAGGGTATGTGCTCTTTGAATGTTATTCTAATATACTTGGTCACCTCAACTGTGCACTGTGATTGGAGTCAGAGAATGTGTATTCCCAGCTCATAGAACAAGGCTGATAATTCCTTCTTCACACAGTTATGAGAATGAGAAGAAACAGATTTTGTTTGGCACATTTGACATGGGATTAAGGAAATGTTCTCCAAAGATGAGACATATTAAATATGTCTGTATGCTCCTTAGAATGCTTGTCATCAGAGAGACATAAGTTGGTAATGAAAGGGAAAGGGAAATGGCTGGAGCAATGTCCTTGTGTAGGCAAGAGGTGGAAGCCAGGTGCACTTGTGGATAGCAGAGTTCATTCAGGAGAGAAGCCAGAGAACACAAGCATGGTGCTAATACTTAGCTCAATGAATGTGGTGTGGAAATTTGTTGCTACTTTCTCAGGAAGACACAGTCAGGATTCCTTATAACAAGGAGTAAGTAGGAGAACGAGTGTGAACGATATCACCTATATTAGTTTTCTATAACTGCAAAAATAAAATGCCAACGACCAGGGGATTAAAGAACAGAAACTTGTTTTCTCACAGTCCTAGAGGCCAGAAACCCCACATCAAGGGATTAGTAGATTGATTTCTCCTGAGGCTTCTGTTTTTGGCTCAACACAGCCACCTTCTTACTGTGCCTTACATGGCCTTATCTCTT